TTTATAAAATGAAATTGAGAGCTTGTAAATCACAGAGTATCCTTCATCTCTTCATATATATTTGTTAAGTCCTTTGTTTCTGTTAGAGCAGATAACTTCACACGTAAGCATGTCTTAATAGCTATTTGCTTTGCCAGATGCCAGACATTTTTTTAAATTTAGGCATATGTAAATTGGTAAAAATAAAGTTCAATCTACAGGAAATTTAACAGTTCTTTAATAAAAGTTTCAAAGTTTCTATAGAAATGCAAACCTTTTAAATGCTGTTAAAGATTTTTCTGTAGTGTATTTTATCTATTTTTGATAAGCTGAAAAATTTGAAGTTATTCTGTTTAAAGTCAGATTAGAAATAGGCTTTATGAAAAAGTAAAAAGTCAATTCAGGTCATTCAGTTTAATTTACTGAGTCATATCTTTTGTGTATAATCTTATATAGTATACTACTACATTAATAATGTTTATTAAAAATAAAACTTGACTTTTCTGCAGAGATTTAAGATTACATTATTTAGGCAATCACTTATATTCAGTGTGTTTATACTGTTTAATGTTGATTTTTTAGTTTTTTATGTTTATTTTTTTATTGATATGTATTAAGTATCCAAAAAATAGATGCCCTAACCAAAGAATTTTGTCACTAGCATATAATGTCTTAGTTTTCATCATTTAAAAGTATATTGCTATTAGAATATTTGACTTTTATAATGCCTTCAATAAATAAATTCTCCTAAATTATTAATTTTAGGTGCTGTTTTTCAACCCTAAACTTTTGACCAAGAATGAAACTATTTAAAAATTAAGATGTCAACAGGTAATTTCTTGTAAATTTATACTTTTGTCAGTGGGTATCACATAGAAATAGAACCACCCCCCACAAAAAGTGTATTAATGCAAATCTATATTTTTCCCTATCTAAAATTGTTCCAGAAATCTGAAATATTTTGGTTTTGAAAGATTACATTTTATAGCATGAAACTATTTTTAGACTTAACCATAAAACTATTTTATTTTATTGCTTTTTACACATTGATAAATTCTAGCTTATTCTGTATGATATCAATTTTACAAGAGTAGGTGAAATCAAGATAACAAATAGATTCAGAGATAGTGATTCAAGTTAGATGAGCATTCTTCATAGATAAAATGCCAGATGTTGAGAACCTGGCTTGTTATAATCCAGTTAAAAATAAGGACATTAATTTCAGCTACAGGAAGCATTCTATGATAAAATTACACTCCACACCCTCAGTGGAAAACCCTATGTGATGATTTCCATGATTCTGATGTAATGTTAATTGGGATTTTATTTGTTACCCAAATTATTCCTGAAAAATGGTAAACATTATCTTATTAAAAGTTGTTTGATTATAAAGAAGCATGCCATTGTGTAAAAAAGAAAAAATCCAGAAGAATTAGTTCTGTTTGGTTTACTTTCTTTTTTCCCACTTAAGTTTTTTGTAATTGTTCTCCTCTTTTTTTTTTTTTTAAGATTTTATTTATTTATTTGAGAGAGAGAGAATGAGAGACAGAGAGCATGAGAGGGAGGAGGGTCAGAGGGAGAAGCAGACTCCCCGCCGAGCAGGGAGCCCGATGCGGGACTCGATTCCGGGACTCCACGATCATGACCTGAGCCGAAGGCAGTCGCTTAACCAACTGAGCCACCCAGGCACCCTGTAATTGTTCTCCTCTTTACATTTTTATGCCTGTATTGTTATGTTGTGGTGAAGCAGATTATTCTCAATTCTTAAGTAAAAGGAACATTTAAAATTTTTAAATTCTGGTGGTGGAAACATCTGGCTCAGTAACAATTATATATTAACAAGTTGAAACTTAGTGGGAAATAAATGCTAGATTATTTTTTTTGAATGCCAAACTTGAGTAATGCCCTTTTCTCCTTTACATGATTCTAGGTCATTTTCTAGACAGTTAGGAACCAACAATGTGCAATTTTAAAGCAATAAAATTCCCCCTTCAAGGCTGAAAGATAAAGTGTTCAGCAATTTGCTTTTCTAATTATAAACAGTAGTATAGTTGATGTAGAAATATAGTTGAGGTTTGGTGGGGTAGGGTCTGGAGCTGACTGCCAAAAAAGAATTCTTGAGACATCTGCATGAGGACAGGACCTAGGGGCAGAAAGAGCTGCTGCAGGGGGATTGTGAAGGGTAGCTGATTATATACTTGGGGATTAGGGGAGGTAAGGAAAAGGGAGGATTTCAGAAGAACTTTCATATGCTAAAGATGACCTACCAGATACCAGAAGCCTTGCCATTGTCAAGGTAAGGTTGTTTTTCCCTCTAGTAAGGCATTAACATTAAGGCAGTTTGGAGCTTCCTGGAGGAATGTCACATATATCCCACCCAGGAGTGGGAGGAGGGAGAAGGTTGCAGGGTGTCAAGCTTGTGCTTTGTCCTCAGCTAGCCTTATGTTCCCTCATAATGATTCAGTGAATTCTATAGTTATGATGTGGTTTTGGAATATAGGTGAAGTTCATGGTGTGAAGTCTGGAGCCGACAACTAATAAAGAATTCTTGAGATGCCTTTGGTGCAATATGGTAGTTTATTAAAGCATGGGGATAAGACCCACGGGAGAAAAAGCTGCTGCCCTGGGTGTGTAAGGGGTGGCTGATTATATAGTATGGGTTTGGGAGAGGTAAGGAAAAAGGGAGGTTTTGAAAGAACTTTAATATGCCAAAGACGATCTACAAGATAATGGAAGGATTGCCATTGTCAAGTTAAGGTTGTTTCTCCCTCTAGCAAACCATTAACATTAAGATAGTTGGGAGCTTCCTGGAGAAACATTACACTCTGCCCACTTCAAGTATCTGGATGGGCTGCAGGTTATAAGGACATTTAATTGTATCTGTATTTCCTTCTGGAAGCTAGGTTATTGATAGAAATGCTTTGTTCTTGTAGATTGCTAAGACATTTGTAAACTGAGGGAGACTCAGGTCTTGCAGGATTGTGATCTCTTTAATTATCTGTTTTTCCTTTCCTTAGCTTTAGGGCAGCCAGGAGTGCATTAGGAATGTTACATATATCCCATGGCAGGGGAGGGTTGTGAGGTGTCAGCTTCTGCTTTGTCCTCAGCTTGTCTTCTATTCCCTCATCAGTTATTTCTAAGTTTTTCTATATAATGGTTTGGTCACCAGAAGTGAAAGAAAATTAAAAAAAAATAGGTTTGGGGGAAGGAGGTGCAGGATGGAAGGAAGAAGGTACCATGGGAGACAAGGAAGGCAAAGAGATAAGGAAGGATAAAGGAGAGTTCAAAGATAAAGAAGGATGTAAGGATGGAGAAAGAAGAGGGGGGAGAAAAAGCAAGCAAGAGAGAAATAGAAGTTTATTTTTTCAATATTCTAAAAGTTTTGGCTGTATATCAAACAATGACTAGGTTTTTAATTTTACTTTAGAACTTTAGATGTCTTTTCAGTTACCAGCTATTACCTAAAATCCTCTTGCATATCGAGACTTTGTAAGATTACTTTTTGGGTTTGTTGTTGTTGTTTTAAAGATTTTATTTTGATTTAATCTCTATACCCAACGTGGGACTTGAACCACAACCCCAGATCAAAAGTCACATGCTCTACCAACTTAGCCAGGCTGTAGTCACATGCCAGCCAGGCGTGCCTGGGTTTTTCTTTTTTTTTTTTCAGTTTAAATTTGTCATACATAGAAATATTTAGAAAGATAATTTTGGAAATCAATTTATTTCAATTATATAAATAATTTTCCCACAGCAATTTCAGAGTTTAATGAATTTGGCACCTAAAAAGAAAAGAATTTAAATACACCTGTGGAATAGAGATGCTCTAAACAAAGCTGCAGAATCTCAGTATTAAATGAGAAAGTTGCTGTTTACTTTAAGGTCCTAATTGCCTTTTAAAAATCTAATGAATATAGAGATTCCCTATTTCTGTAATATAGCCTATAAATCTATTATAATTAATGGCCATATCCTTAAGACAGATTAATTTTTCCCTCAAAGGGCTAGAAAGCCATGCTTATCAAATAAGAAATAAGATTAAGTTCCTCATTTTTTTTTAAAGATTTTATTTATTTATTTGACAGAGAGAGACATAGCAAGAGAGGGAACACAAGCAGGGGGAGTGGAAGAAGGAGAAGCAGGCTTCCTGCTGAGCAGGGAGCCCAATGTGGGGCTCAGTCCCAGGACCCTGGGATCATGACCTGAGCTGAAGGCAGATGCTTAACGACTGAGCCACCCAGGCACCCCTAAGTTCCTCATTTTGAGAACGAATTCTTCATTCTAATTGTTTTAATTTTAATTTATTTTTTTCTTCATTCTAATTTTTAGAATTGCTACTTCTTGATGAGGGAGCAGAAGGCTAGTTGAAGACAGGGCATAACCTGACACCTGCAATGTCCCCCCACCCCTGGGTGGGACATGTGTGACAGTCTTCCAGGAAGCTTCCAACTATCTTAATGTTAATGGTTTGCTAGAGGGGTAAACAACCTTGACAATGGCAATCCCTCCATTATCTTGTAGGCCCTCTTTAGCATATGAAAGTTCTTTCAAAACCTTCCTTTTTCCATACCTCCCCCAACCCCATACTATATAATCAGCCACCCCTCACAACCCCAGAGCAGCAGCTCTTTCTGCCCATGGGTCCTATCCCCATGCTTTTTTTTTTTTTTTAAGATTTTATTTATTTATTTGACAGAGACAGTGAGAAAGGGAACACAAACAGGGGCAGAGGGAGAAGCAGGCCTCCTGCTGAGCAGGGAGCCCAATGTGGGGCTCCATCCCAGGATTCTGGGATCATGACCTGGACCGAAGACCGAAGCCGAATGACTGAGCCACCCAGGCGCCCCTCTATCCCCGTGCTTTAATAAACCACCATTTTGCACCAAAGGTGTCTCAAGAATTCTTTCTTAGGTGTCAACTCCTGACATCACCCCATCGAACTTCACCTATATTCCAAAACCTCATTACTTCTAAGATACTTAGTTCTTTTGCTTGTTTGCTTTTCCCTGTTTAATTTATGTATGTGTTTAGATCACGAAGAGCCCTGTGGTCCCAGTCACAGGTCATTTTGCCTGAATGGAGGGATTTGTTATGTGGTACCTACTATTCCCAGCCCATTTTGTAGGTAAGTGAAATGAACTGATGTGGGGGAGGGTCATTTTATTTTTTGCTATCTACTAACGTCTTTGAGAAGTGATAAATATTGAACAAAAAGTATAAGATGAAAAGTGTGAGGAATGCTCTTCTTATTTATATAGAACAAAATTATATAGAACAAAATTATACTTTTAAAACAAAAAGTAGCAAATCACAATCTTGCTCAAATTGTTTATTTTGAAAATTGGTGGTAGTTTCAAGCCTAATCCGATTTTTATAATAATCCATTTCAGTGAACTCTGTATGATTTTAGCAATTTAGGGAAGACACTCTATGTTTAATATTAATGACAAAACAGGTAGAGAATTCACTAATGTACAAAAGCCCAACATGAGACATTTTGCTGAGTTTAGAATACATAAATGCACAATTAACTGTTGGTGGAGTGGTTTTGGAATATAGGTGAGGTTCAGTGGGGTGAGGTCTGGTGCCGATGACCAAGACTTCTTGAGGTGTCTTTGGTACGAAATGGTGGTTTATTAAAGCACAGGGACAGGACCCTTGGGCAGAAAGAGCTGCTGCCCCAGGGCTGTTAGGGGTGGCTGATTTTATACTTGGCAGTTGAGAGAGGTAAGGAAAAGGGAGGTTTCAAAAGGATTATCATATTAAAGAAGACTCAACAGGATACCAGAGGACTTGCCATTGTCAAGTTAAAGTTGTTTTTCCCTCTAGCAAGGCATTAACATTAAGATAGTTGGGAACTTCCTGGAAGAATGTCACATATCCCACCCAGGATTGGGTGTGGGGGGAGGTTGCAGTGTGTCAGCTTGTGCTTTGTTTTTAGCTAGCCTTCTGTTCCCTTATCATTTGTATCAAAGTTTACATTTGATATATTTAAAAAATGAAGCATTAAGTTTTTCTAATGGTGTCAACAAATAAAAAAGAAGTCTGTCTTAGCTACTGTTGTTTTAAATAATATGATTTCACATTGGGAGTATATAGCCAGATCAATAAAAGACTTGAAAATAGTACTTGTTTAGCTGGCTTCCTTTGAGTTTGGTTAGATAGGATTTAAGGGGGAGATAATAAACGTTATTTATTTATCTATCTATCTACTTATTTATAAGATTTTTAAGAATTTATGAGAGAACAAGCAGTGGGCAGAGGGAGAGGGACAAGCAGACTCCCTGCTGAGCAGGAAGCCTGAAGTGGGGCTTGATCCCAGGACTCTGAGATCATGACCTGAGCAGAAGGCAGACTCTCAAGGGACTGAGTCACCCAGGCACCCCGATAAACCACTTTTATTTTTATTTTATTTTTTTTAAGATTTTATTTTATTTTTTGAAACAGAGACAGCAAGAGAGGGAACACAAGCAAGGGGAGTGGGAGAGGGAGAAGTAGGCTTCTCGCAGAGCAGGGAGCCGGATGTGGGGCTCGATCCCAGGACACTGGGATCATGAACTGAGCTGAGGGCAGACACTTAGCGACTGAGCCACCCAGGCGCCCCAATAAACCTGTTTTAATACATGAGTTAGCAACATATTACTACCAGTGATGTCCATAGACTTTAGTGGAGCTAACACCTAAACATCAAGATTTTTTGTGGCATGTGCATGAATTACTCTGTTTTTGTTCTTTAACTGAAATGAGAGGTATAAAATCTACATTAAAGATCTTTCTAAAGTAAAATTCATAGGAAAAGTGAAAAATAATTTTTGAGATTTAGTATGGAGGAGGGGAGACAGAGAAATAACCTCATAATTATCTCAAGATGTTCTTAGAGGTTTCCCTATGGGAAGCAGTGACTAAGTATTTTTCCTCTCAAGTTAATAAAGTGAAAAAGAAGGAGATAGAAGAACAAATCAACAATTGTTTTGTACCTACTAGGTGCCTCTACATTTTTCTTTCATCTTAAAATCTATTTACAAAAATATAATTTATGAATGATAAACTACTTTTTAAAAGTGCACAGTTGAGGAATTTTGACAAATGTTTATACCCATGAAACCGCTACCACCATAACAATATACAGAACATTTGTATTACCCCACATTTGCTGACCACAGTTTTAATTTACATTTTCATGTTTCATCATGAAAAACCTTAGAGAAAAGGGGGAAAGAAGACCTAAGGAAATAGAAAAATAAGGAAAATGAGGGGTGCCTGGATGGCTCAGTTGGTTAAGTGACTGCCTTCGGCTCAGGTCATGATCCCGGAGTCCCTGGATCGAGTCCCGCATCTGGCTCCCTGCTCAGCGGGGAGCCTGCTTCTCCCTCTGACCCTCCCCCCTCTCATGCTCTCTCTATCTCATTCTCTCTCTCAAATAAATAAATAAAATCTTAAAAAAAAAAAAAGAAAAATAAGGAAAATGAGAAATTAACTGACTTGCCAAAGTCATACATGTAGGACTAAATTAAAGAAATGTCCTTGAGTACAATGTACAACTCCCAAGTTTCGCCTAATCTTACAGTATATTCATTCTGAATTCTTTCTAATGGGATAGGGCATGTGGTATGCATAAAATGGAACAAAAATACTCATCAGAACAAATATATTTCATAATTAAAAGATACTGACATTTGTATCTTGATTTTGGTAATGGCTACTTGGGTAAAAAGGCTGTCCTTTCTTCATTGACTTACTTTTGCACCTTTGTCAAAAATCAATTGATTCTACATGTATGGGTCTATTTCTGGACTATTGTATTCCACTGATCTATGTTTCTATCTTTCATGAATATCAAACCATCTTGATAACCATAACTTTATAATAAGTGAAATCAGGTCATGTGAGTGGTTAACTTTGTTCTTCGGCTCATTTATCTTTATCTTTCCTTTCTAGAAGACAGTATTTAAGTTAAACTTTTCCGAATATTTAGCTCCATATTACAAATCTTGTGGTCTGTTGTTCATTTCTAAGGTAGACATTTTTTCCAGTGTGATTTCTTCTTTTTTTTTTTTCTAAGATTTTATTTATTTATTTGAGAGAGAGAATGAAAGAGAGAGAGCACAAGAGGGGGTAGGGTCAGAGGGAGAAGCAGATTCCCTGATGAGCAGGGAGCCCGATGCGGGACTCGATCCTGGGACTCCAGGATCATGACCTGAGCCAAAGGCAGTCGCTTAACCAACTGAGCCACCCAGGCACCCTGTGATTTCTTCTTTAACCTGTGTGGGGTTGTTATTGTTACCCTTTAACGTTTATATCTAATTTAATTGCGTTGTGGTCACAGTACTTGGTCTATCCAGCTCTACCCTTACTATTTGTTTGTATACTAACGGTGTGTTTATACTGCACTGAATAAGTTGAAAGAAAGAATTAAGAGTACTGAAATTTGGAGAATCACTGAGATGGGAAGAAATGTAGTGTCTTACTTCAGGCTGCTATAGCAAAAAAAATCAGTCTGGGTGAATTATGAACAATAGAAATTTATTTCTCACAATTCTGGTGGCCAGAAATCTGAGATCAGGATGCTAGCATGATTGGGTTTTGGTGAGTGCCTGCTTCCTGGTTTGCAGATTTATTTGGATACATCTTTTGATTGGCAGGAAGAGCTGGTAAGGAACCAGCTTTTAGACGGCAGAGCCATTCTGTGGGATTAGTACCCTCTGTGCAGTGTGGGTTGTGTAGCTTGGAGTTGTTCAACACCCCGAAAGGAAGTGAAGTCAGGGAAGACACAGAAAAGGAAGGAATATACTGACTAAGGGTTAAGTTAAGTTGAATGGCAGATACATTTTAAATTATTATTATTATTATTATTATTATTATTTTAAGATTTTATTTATTTGACAGAGAGAGACACAGCGAGAGAGGGAACACAAGCAGGGGGAGTGGGGGAGGGAGAAGCAGGCTTCCTGCCGAGCAGGGAGCCTGATGTGGGACTTGATTCCAGGACCCTGGGATCATGACCTGAGCCGAAGGCAAACACTTAATGACTGAGCCACCCAGGTGCCCTAAATTATTATTTTATAAAAGTAATTGTTTTCCAATAATTTTAGGACTAGCTTGGACCTTCTTTTTTTTTTTTTTAAAGGCATTTATTTATTTTTTATTTTTTTTTATTATGTTATCTTAATCACCATACATTACATCATTAGTTTTTGATGTAGTGTTCCATGATTCATTGTTGCATGTAACACTCAGTGCTCCATGCAGAACGTGCCCTCTTTAATACCCATCACCAGGTTAACCCATCCTCCCTCCCCCCTCCCCTCTAGAACCCTCAGTTTGTTTTTCAGAGTCCATCATCTCTCATGGTTCATCTCCCCCTCCAATTTCCCCCCCTTCATTCTTCCCCTCCTGCTATCTTCTTCTTCTTTTTTTTTTTTAAACATATAATGTATTATTTGTTTCACAGGTACAGATCTGTGATTCAACACTCTTGCACAATTCACAGTGCTCACCATAGCACATACCCTCCCCAGTGTCTATCACCCAGCCGCCCCATCCCTCCCACCCCCCACCACTCCAGCAACCCTCAGTTTGCTTCCTGAGATTAAGAATTCCTCGTATCAGTGAGGCCATATGATACATGTCTTTCACTGATTGACTTATTTCACTCAGCATAACATTCTCCAGTTCCATCCATGTCGTTGCAAATGGCAAGATTTTGAACAGTTGTGTTTTCATTTTCATTTGTTTCCATGAATTTTTTAAATTCTTCTTTAATTTCCTGGTTGACCCATTCATTCTTTAGTAGGATGCTCTTTAGCCTCCATGTATTTGAGTTCTTTCCATCTTTCCTCTTGTTACTGAGTTTGAGTTTCAAAGCAGTGTGGTCTGAAAATATGCAGGCAATGATCCCAATCCTTTGGTACCAGCTGAGACCTGATTTGTGACCCAGGATGTGATCTATAGTGGAGAATGTTCCATGTGCACTAGATAAGAATGTGTATTCTGTAGCTTTGGGATGGAATGTTCTGAATATATCTGTGAAGTCCATTTGGTTCAATGTGTCATTCAAAGCCCTTATTTCCATCTTGATCTTCTGCTTAGATGATCTGTCTATTTCAGTGAGGGGGGTTTTAAAGT